TTAGGGACCAGAATGGGGACCCTTTTGTCTTTGGGTGTGAGAGACGAAAAGCCAATGCTGTGCCCGCCGTTCTCGTGCTGCGACAAAATGTCTTTGTCCTTTGTCAAAACTCAGCACAGTGCAGCCGTGCGGGCAACATAGATAACTGGTGTGGCGACAGAGGAGAAACAGGTGGCTTGAGGTAGTCTAGATGTCTCCAAACCTTTCCTTGCTGTAAGGCTCCAGCCTCTACAGGTGCTGAAGAAAAGCCCATCTAAAGCTCAGCCTGAAAACGAAAAGAAAATCCCAATATTCCCTCTTCTAAATCCACAAAGAGAATATGTTCCTGGTGAAACAGTCTCTGTGAACACAGGGGATTTAATACTGGTTTGTAAATAAACCCTTCTGCCTCTTCATCCTCTTGCTCTCCCAGTCAACTCTCAAAGTAAAACCCATCCAGCTGTTGGTAGAGGGAAGCAATGGGGAAGATGGAAACTTGCTCTTCGTGTCTATGTGTGCTGGGAACGAGAGAAGAGTATAATGGCTAGCTCACGGGTGCTGGTGAATTAAAAGCAAGGGAAGTTTAGGCCTTGTGTCAGCAGTTCTGAAAACCTGGCCTGCACAGCTTCTCCCTCGATGGATGTACCCACTGATGTTAGCCAAGGCAACACTTCACTGTGCTTGGCGGCTCTTGGAAGAGGATTCTTTTCTTGCCTCACCTTTCTCCGTTTAGTATCTCATCTAACTAAACGCCAGAACTTTGTTAAGAATAGCAGCTGCTGCTGAGGAAACTCCCCGACCCCATCCCGGAGTTCCCACAGGGGAAAGATTTCAGTTTCAAGTTGTGAAATACTGACGTGAGTTCAAAGAGGTACAGTCACCGATGAAACTTGACTGCCAACAGGAAAGCTTCTTCTGGTTTGAGGAATTAAGTCCCAGAGCATCTGTCTCAACAGTGTAGCAGAGGCAAGGGTCCTAGCTGGTTTAAGGTGATGCTCAGCGAGGTTACGGAAAGGGGCGTATGACAGGCTAGAGGAATGTGTAGCAAGGGCAAGTTAACTTACAATAGTAGCCCATATTTAGCTCCTGCGAAGGGAAGGAAGTGTTTGCTGCTCAGGGCAGCAGCTACTTCAGCAACTCCTTGGTCCCCCCGGCCTTGCTTTGCAGGTATACAGGCCATTTTCCAGCATCACCGTTCCTGCTCTTTCCCGGTAGCGCACTGTAAGCTTTGCTTCTCCTCTCACTCTCCTGGTATTTGCTGTTGGGGTCTGGGCAAGATTGTTTTTTAATGGTGACTGAAAAGCTCTCCCCTGAGCTCACCTGGATGCAGGCTGAGGCAGGGAGTCTCTGGCTGTACGGGCTCACCGTGAAGCCGGTGGGAAGGAAGGAGGTTCAGGATTTCAGAAAGGCCTTTTTGCTTGTGTGCCGCTTTCTTTGAAGGGATGCACCTGGAGTTTCTTTTTCTTCTTTTTTTTTTTTCTCCCCTCTTCACTACAAAGTTTACAATGGAAGATCAACAAATTAAGTTCAAGTCTGCCTCCCACCCTCCTTTCCCCCCTCCCTCCCCCAGGTGCAGCCTGGGACAGCCTGCAGTCTCAGCTAGCGACGTTGGCATTGTTGCTGCGATTGCTCAGTCTCTCACCTCGCTATACTACTTTTACCTTTTTCTTAAAAAAAAATGTTTAATGTGGCGTCTGGTGCCAAAAGCCTTTAGCATCGTGGGAAGGTGTTACCATCTCCTAACAAACTACTCCTCACTGCTGCCAGGGAGGACTTAAGCTGCGGGCTCTGTATTTCAGGAAGCTGGAGCAATGAACTGAAGTTCTATCATTGAAAGCCGTTACAGACTGTCCCAAAGAAGCCATTGCCTGTTAGTGAGTAGTTTTGAAAAATATTTGGGAAAGGGTTTTTCTGTATATTTATATCTTCTGGGGTCTTGGTAAATCCATTTAACGTTTGTATTGCAACAAATATGATTTACAGCTGAAGGTCTCTGGAGAATCCAGGCAGAGACGGGTGGAGGTAGGGAGCCAAACCCGCCACATAACTTTATTAATGTGGAATGAACACGCACAACAAATGGGTGTTGTTTGGCGAGACCACCTAGCTAGGTGTTGGATAATTGGGTGGGTGAGTGCATGAATGTCCAAAACTGAACCTTCAGCCTCCAAAGTGGAAGCAGCTGCTTGTGAAGTACCGCTGGTAGGGGGGCCAGTTATAAATTCCACTGTCACCTGGACTAAACCAAAGTGGCCGTATCCCCAATTCTCCAATGAGACATGAGAAACGCTGAGGAACCTGCTTGTGCCTGGACCTTCTGCACACCAAAGGTTTGGACTGGGAGAACCAGGGCCTGGCAGCTCCAGGAGAAGCTAGTGCCATAAAGAAGGGCTTAAAAAAACCCGAAACCCCAAACAATGGTCTGGGAAGATGAAGATTAAGACCTTGGCTGGAGGAAAGATCCTGGAAGTGAGGGCTCTGCAGGGAGAGGAATGTCAGGAGACGGCGAGGGCCCTCGGGCAATCCCACCATTGGTTTATTAATAAGCAGCTTTATGTCCCAGAGAAAGACAAACCCAAAACCGTTTGACACTTACAGATGAGAGAATGGAATAATTTTACATGCTGTCACTGGTGGAAAAGAGGCTTGGTTTTTCACATTTTTTTAAACTTTTATTTATTTTTTTTAGAAAAGGAATAAACTCTGCATGGTAGAGTGTACGGTATATAATTTCAAAACAGAACAAGTGATATGGAATGGATTCTTTTCCCAAACTATTTAAAGTTGAACCTGAAATCATCTGTAAATCAACACTCGATACCATGTAAGACAAAGGAAAACAATCAACATGTTTTTTGTTTGGTACAGATTTCCTCTACCATTTCAGCCTGAATTTTCCCAGAGTTGGGGAGAAAAGGGGGGCAAATCCTGCCCGTTGTCCTAACCATAATTGTACTGACCAAGCTTTGTGCTCTGAAATCTAGCATCATATGGCTTTATATACGTTCCTAAGTGAACAGTGCAACATCATCACCATCTTAAGTGTTTATTCCACATTCAAACTGTTAACTGAACATCACTCTGAAACCCGTTCCCGCCCCCAAAACAACAATAGCAAGAACAACAATGAAAAGCAGAAAGTCTCCAGCAATCAGATTTCATCCCAGAAATCTGTGTAAACTGTAGATGAGGGTTGGGTAGCAGCACAGAAGACAAAAGATGTGACAGCGTGATTCAATAGCGTCTCTAAAGACTACTGTAAGACTGTCATTCTTTAGTCTGCATCTTGCAATCACAATTTGCTTTTTCCCTGCAATACTATAAAGCAACATTAAAAAAAAAATAAAAATCAAGACTTAAAAGCAAAAGGTAGAAGCCTTTATGGAAAGGCAAAGCTTCTGCTTAGCCTTGAGTGGTCGCTGTTAGAAACAGATCTCTGCAATCAGAAGCAAATCTTGACCATATATACATGATTTCAGGAAAGGGATGCAGCCAAGGACGGAAGCCCTCCTAGCAGACCCGCAGACCGTTTTGGGCTGCAAACCGCCTTTTTGGGTTGAACAAGCCAGCAGGGCAGCTGCAGGTGTGAGGCACGCTCCTCTGCAGGCTCTTGGCTCTCCTGTTCCTTGGCTGCATGGGGGCCAGGAGGAGAAGGGAGCAGGAGTGCCAGCAAGGGCCCCCCTGCCCCCCCGCTCTACAGCCGGCCGAGTGACGCGTGGGTTGCACTGGGGAGGTAAGTGCACGCTTTTCTCTTTACCCCCTCCTCCCCAATCTGTTGGAATGCATCTACACCAGTAATTAGGTAAGTATTAACGTAACTGTAAGCTAGCAAAGTCACCCTCCCCCTTAAAATGGAGGGAGAGCAACAGCATCAAACAAATTCCCATTTGTCCTGACATGTGTAACCTTTCCAGATCCTACAGAGCAATCATACGCAGGCGTTTTTCATACTAGAATTTAAAGGCGTCAAAGCTGGTAAAGAAACTGGATGTTTCCTGGCCTAACTGAAGGAAATAATAAAACTGATTAAAGTAAGAGCGAAAGAAAGTAAGCATTAGTGTGTTTACATCCTCTGGTATGTCCCACTTCTCTACGTTCTGCTCACAAGCCCTTTCCATACTCTGAGCAAGCACTCCCAGACTGAGAGAGGTAAGGCTTCAGCTAAAATCTCCTGCTTGAGATTTACATTTTTTTTTTTTTGATAAATACCATAGCTGTAAGTATTTGACTTCACCGGATCTGTGTGGGGCATGTCGAGGGCAAGGCTTGTTGAGTGAACCAGCACAGGAGAAGACTGGAGAGGGGTGTAATCTCACATGATAACAACGGAACGATGTCCATAAGCACGGTGCTAGCTTAGTGTGTATGTAGCATCAGGGAGCTTGGATGAAACCCGCCAGCTTTCTGGGTGTCCAGTTAGAACCAGGGAAGCTGCAAGAAGTTTTACTGTAAAACTCCAGTACTGAAATGTCTAAAGGAACTGGACCTTTAACTTCAGTGGGCACTGATTTTAGGTTTTGCACAGTCAATTCTAGTTAAAATCCAAAAACTTTAACAATAGCTGATGCCCCTGATGTTGGAGCCTTAAGACACCTGTTATACTGCTGAGCCCTACTCTTTTTTTTTTTTTTTTTTTTTAATAAAACACTGTTTTAAGATACAGCACAATAAATGTGCTTATTACGCACTCTAACATAGAGCACAGAAATACAACACTACAGAGTGCAAGTCTAACCATCTCCACAGTGGGAAAAGTGCGAAGGTTAAAAATATGCATGTGGCTTAACACAAGATATTTTTTAAAAAACATGACATGGAAATCTCATACTAATGCTTTCACCTTTATCACAAACATGACTGAAAACTCAAGGTCAGTTGCTGATCCTTCTCTCGTAGTAGTAGTGTAATGCTTTCAAAGGTAGATGTTGGAAAGATCAGAGAATAAAAAAAAAAAAACAAGTGTCCAAAAATGATCCCATTTATCACTTTTCCAGTAGTTATGTTTTTCAAGAAGTAAACACGTAAGGTCACCTTGATCTTCGCCATCGGTAACTGATACACTCGGAAACAGCCAAGCCAACCACCTGGACCGAGATCAGTTCGGTGTCGCACACGCACACACACACGGATACACACACAAACACCCCACAGGAGAAAGTGCACTTTCAATTGCTGATACAAAAATAGATTGGCACATTCTTTTTGACACAGTGAAGATATCCTCTTTAAAAGCTTTTTCACGTTGAGAAGTCCTCTTGGAAGTTGCAGCAGGTCTGTAGAAAAAGCGCTATGAGAATGCACTCAGGTGGGCTTCCAGGGTTTGTGTGATGGAGAGAGGGGTGGTCACGGAGGCTGCCCTTCAAATTTGTGCCTACTTTTATAGCCGTAGTCCCCACAGGCAGGGTCAGTTGCCACCCAGTTTCAGCACGCTAACCATTTACCAACAGCTCAGTCTTCACCTGCTTTGAGAAAGTCACGATACGTAAATTTGTCAAAGCTGAGAGTCTTAATTCAACGCAGTGTTTCCTGTATGTTGCTGGAAAAACTGTTTTGGGGAGAGAGAGAGCACGAAGTGTGAGGAGTCTGATTTTGCATTTCCAGTAGTAACTGCGGCCCAGGAGAGCCAAGCGGGAACAGTCGGGAGTCCCTTCCCCGCAGGGCAGCCAGCGCTAGGAGTTCTGCACCAAGCGTCTGTAGTGCGGCATCACTTCGTGCTCGGGAAGGTGGAGAGCAAACTCCAAGGCCACCAGCACCGGGAACTCGAAGGCGATCAGCTCGCGCCTGTTCAGCCGGAACTTCTCTTCCAGTTTCTGCAACGGCAGCCAAGGGAAAAAAGAAAAGAAAAAAAAGTCTTTGTGAATGAGGATTTGACTCTCTAGTGGTTTCTTACAGACGACATTATTCAAAGCACACGTGCTGCTGTCACTAAACCTCTGCCCTCCTGGACTGGCATGGCTCTAAGTTTAGAAAATGAGAGCAGGAGGAACGGGATGTGCTGATTCCTTACTGTGAAGGTGAACTTACAAAGCGCAGCCAGCCACGCTATTTCTGACATGTTTGCCTTTTCACTCACTCCATCTCCCGCAGGTACACACCTTCTAATGATCACAGTGATTTATCACTGCAGGAAGAGGAAACTCCTGGCTTTATGAAAATGTTGAAATCACGTGTGTAATGGAAGACACGCGTCTCGTAGCTGCCTACAAACTTCCTGCGCTGCTTGAAATCACTAATTTTCCTTTCAGCATGAGACTGTGTTACAACACCCTATTGGGAAATTGTTTCTGCTACAATTATACACGTTCGATCTTAATACCTCAGCGGCACAAGGTGTCATCTGCAACAACCGTAAGAACAGTGAATAATAGAAACTATCCTCAAGGGGGACGAGGTGGGTTTCATAGCTGGCTTTCTGCTGTAATGTACTCAACTTCCCATCTGCTCTGCTCTTTTTGCTGGATTCGGATGCTACGAGTAGGCAAACAGCTGTTCAGGGATATTCCCCCCCACTCCCCATCCTCTTATGAGCTCCCTGCCTTGCTACTTCTCTGTCACTGGGTCTCCTGAAAACCTCAATGTGTCTTAAGGATGGATCAAAGTTTCAGGAGAGCAAGAGGGGCCAGATCTTCCAAATCCCACTAGGCTGATTTTTTTTTCTGGTTATTCAGAGGGCTTTCTAACAAACTGACTGTTGACCCAGCTCTGTGGCTGTGGCAGAAGCACATGAGCCCAGTCCTGCCCCCCAACGAAGTTTCTCTGTCTCTTGAACTGAGCGAGCTGGTTGTAGCCAAGTACCCAGCTACCTGCCCTCACCTGCAGCAGTAAATCAGATTGGTATCTCGTTGCTTGCCAACGGATTACGGAATAACGCTCCCCTCTGGTAACTCTTTCATATGGAGTGGGTGGAAGACCAAACACCTTACTCTACAAAAAAAAACGGTTTGGGGGAGGTGTTCTAATGAGAACATTTCTTTAGGTTTTCTTGCCCAAAAGCTTAACTTGATGAAAGAAATACAAACTTGGCCATCTGTTAAGACTCCCTCTGAAATTAGTATTTGCATTTACCTCTTTAAGGAGAGTCCTTATTGACACCCTTGAAAACATAATTAAAAGCAAAACGAATTTCCCGAGGGTTAACTTTTGACTTGTATTGACAGAATGGTGGTCAGATTATCGGTCAGACCTCACAGTACCCGACACCATCAGGCACGCTTCCCATGCCGCTGCAGTGCCACTGATCACTACTACTTCCACATAAACGTGCAACAAAGGAAGGTATTCAGCTGGCAACCTAGAGGAGAGCGTGACCACCGAGAAGCACGCTTGTGCAGACCACACACTGGCACTTCATGTAGAAGGAACACTGGAAACCTATGGATACGTACATCTATAAGATGCTTGACTTCATGTTTTCTGAGGTCACTGCCAATTTTGGCTGCTAAAAGAACACAGGCTCCAGCACAAAGCTTTCTATTCTGCTTGTTCAGCTTCCCCTTGAGAGCGAGCTTCTCAAAGTAGACAAAGGCCATGGCCACTGTGGGCTCTTCAAAACCACATTCTTCTTGAGCAAGCTTGCGCATTTCTCTCTTCAAGCTGCGTAAAGAGACCAGACAAGTGGGCTGTGAACTGTGTTTTAAAGCGTTTCTCATTTCACTACAAGAGATTCCTCCTTAGTCAAACAGAGAGGAAAAGGAAAACATAATTTACTAGGCAGGTATCTTTATGCTCTGTTTTGGGGACGCATTTCACGGCACATTTTGACCTCACCCTTCCCCCTCACTGCCCCCAGTAGATACTTGTGTCTAACTATAAAACCAACTGAAAAGCTTTGACATTTTCAGTAATAAGATTTCCTCGGAGGTCTTACACTGCATACCATTTATTCAGTAACAACACCTGGATTGCTTGTGCTCTACCTATATGCAGCTTTGCTGCTGGTTACGGTTGGGCAAATCCAAACCGACAGTCTTTCCATGTACTGCAGCATTGTCTGGTTACAGAGCGACACAGCTCTATCCTTCCGGCCGCTGCAGTTCCAACGAAACGACTGTTACTTCAGGGCACCAGTATGTCCAGCCGCTACACTGGAAACAGTGCTGAAATACTACAACTTTGCTGGGAAGTTCATCACCGGTTTTGCTCCTGTCCGTGCTCTCTGGACAAGGCACAAAAGTCAGCATTGCTCTCTCCTCAATCTCTTTCTAGGTTAAGTGCCATGAGCTTAGAAAGACTTTTGCATTATTCTTCTGGATCTTTTAGTGTAGTGGATGCCCAGCTTGCATCCTCACCTTGTTAGATGCTGCTTTTGACACCTGACCAGTAGGTTTGTACATTCCCCTATCTTGTTTACTCAGTCCACTCATCAAAGCAACCATCTGACTTATTCTGCACTTTTGCCTTTCCTGGAAGATCCATCAGTGCTGTGCTTCCCCTCATGTACAACAGCAATTGCACTGAAAGGTGCGACAGCTGCATCATGTTGCAGCCTTACCAAGCTTTGCAACGTACCTTCGTATTTTACTGAGGGTTAACTTGATGTGGGGGAACTTCTCCTTGAAGGTCTCATTCATGTCCTTCTTGAGATCTGATGGCTTCACGTAGTCTATGACTGTGGTCTGTAACACATCGTCAAGAAAGAATTACTCTTTAGTCTGCAACAAGCAAGATCACTCAATTCCCAAAAGCAACAAGTACCAAACAAGTGCCAGCCAGTCTCAATGCTTCCAGCAGAGGGGAAAATTCAGTCTGAATTAAGGCAACAATTTGCTCTGTCAAAACAAGTGACCTGAGATCCGAGATCACCGTTCAGCACAAGCCCTGAGCAACACATACCTTATCAGGATCCTTCAAGTATCACCAAAAGTGAGTTTAAGCAAAAAGTGGGTGGATAAAACCTACCTGAGAAGTCTTGTTAAAACAAAATAAAGCATCACAATAACTTATTTGATGACCAGATTTTGTGTGCCTACCTCCACGCGGTCCTGAGAAACCTTATGGGTTTCTCTCACATGGATTCTTCAAAGGAGCCACCGGTACAGATTCTTGAGCGCCATAGCATGTATTTGTGACACAGTGCAAGATAGTAATGCTGTCATAACTTACACAGTAAGTGGACAGAAACATGAGGTAGGACAACATTCAAAGGGTACAGTCTATTTCCTTTACATGGAGATTTCTGTGCCTTTTTGTCACAACCTAAAGAATTTCCCCAAGTAGCAGAGGGCCCTCCCAGCCAGTACTGCAATGCCAGTGCTCACATCTATGGGTGCGCAGCACTTCTCTCACGCCTTCATTCAGGAAGCTTTTTGCCCAAAGCCTCTGTCACCACTCACCTGGCCAAGATCTATCAGCCGAACAACAAATGAACCTTCATTTTGTGGGTGTGCCAGTTCTCTTCCCAGTTTTGGCTATCCTGCCCCTTGGACGGAAGCAGGGAAGAGCCCCAAGACAGCCAGTGGACAAGCTGGTCCCCAGCTCCTGGCCAGCTTCAAGTGCAGGCAGTGGGAGAGCTGCAGTCTGCAGTGCAATGCATTCTCCTTCCAGTAAAGTAATTTTCCCCATCTAATTTCTGTTTATGATTAACCTATATTATGGCAAAGGGCTGTTAACGCTGAACAACGAGAGGTGGGAAGAGGCATGCAAAACACCTGCTGCATGTTATGCCTTTATAGAAGATGGAGCCTCAATGAATTATATCCTAGAATCTAAGTCAGCCAAAAAGACTGACTGCATATGCTCACAGGGCTTTTTTCAATAATTAAAATGGAAGAGCTTGGGGAGGAGAGAGTGTAATGGCTCCAGTGAGCAGTCAGTTATCTGATCATGTTCTTGGCTGGATCAGAAATGTGCATGAAGGGAAGCATAACTTTCCCTGAATTTTACTTAGAAGCTATAGTACTGAAATAAGGATAATTATAGGCTTTTAAAAGAAAGCAGAGAATGTGTTTCCCTCAAATAGCACACAGCAGCGTATGAGGTAAATATATGGAAATAAAGAGGAAAAAAATCAGCTTCTTGCCACAGGGTGCTGTTACGGTCATATACACGTTTTAAAATGTGGGCTATTCTGCTACCTGACCTGCAGTGTGAGAAGCATCACCTGTCCTGATAAACTGCTCCCCACTACGTCCTGGCAGGTAATTCTGCTGGGGACGTCATGCACAACAGCTTCCCGCTGTCAGCTTAAGTATAAATGTTTGCAAGCCCCCTCCGACAGTTATGTGTAAAGCACCAGTCCAAATTCTGCTAAAATACAGGGGACAATTTATTAAGGAAATGCTGTCCTATTAAGGAAAGCTGCCAGCTATAAGAAATCACCAAAAAGGAGAAAGCCCCATCAACCCCCTTCAGCCACCCCTGCTGCCTGCACGCGGAGGGACGAGCTCGAGCGCGGGGCCCGGCGGGCGCTGCAGTGCCACTGAGGTTAAAAATTCTTACGCTGTCTTGATGCTGAGGCAGGCAACACGCTACCATGCCTGAATATAAAGGAAGAGAGGAGAAGACAGGGAGGAGAAACCTTGCCCTATGCAGGGCTGGAGGGAAAGGCTTCAACCAAATGCATGGGTCTGCCTGGCTTTAAGCTTGCTGAGGTTGGAAGGACGTATGCGTGCACCCGTACGGCAGTGGCTCTTCGCTGCAGACAGCTCCTCATGCGCTTCATCTCACCTGGCAGGGCTCAACCCTCCGAAGCAGAAGAACGAAAACCTGACCAATTACTCCTCTCCTTTCTTTCCCTCGGATGTGGCTGCCTGCCTGCCTACGCCTTGGTTTCATTGCCGGAGGATCGTCAGCAAGTTGGGTGCTTTTGATGCTTACAAAGACATGCTGGGAGTTTATGTGTTACTAAGAGGGTTCCTCTTAGCACTGGTATTGGAGGACTATAGAAACAAGCCACATCATAACATAATTCAGACCAGTGCCATCTGCTACTCAAAGTACAGAAACATAGCTGCTCGCTCTTACAGAGCCAAGAGACACCGAGCGCGTAAAGGTTACTCGCTATTAAGATGATTTTAGTTACTACCAGCATTTTTTGGTCGTCTTGGGCAATCCTAGAAAAAGTGAGCTCAGTGTGACTGCGCAAAGCTACACAACACCTTATTTCAAGCTTCGCTGCAAACCTAACCGTCCATTGTTTGCTCTCCATTACCATGGAGTTCTTTAGTTTTATCTTAATTATCTCCAACAAAGTGATCACGTTTTTTTCTGGCAGACTTGCATTTGGCTCTCCCCAGGTAATCATCTTCCCTTGCACAGAGGAGGATGCAACCACGCACGAACCTCGCGTGCACGACCCAAACCACTTGGCAGCAGAGTGGGCACAGCCGCCGAGGGAGGGCCCCACCATCCTCCGGATCAGCCGAAGGGCTGCACAAATTATGCCAGGCAGCAGGTTCCAGTTGCGTTCACCTTTAACAAGCAGGTGCCAGCCTGACCCCAGCTTTGGGGGTGACTGCACGGAGGGGGAGCAAGTGCTGGGCTCTGCCACAGAGCAGCAGCCTCCTAGGGTGCACCCTTCCCCACAGTTGCTCTGCAGGCACCGTCTGTTTTACCTGGGACTCCTCCAGCCTGCGGGAGACTTGCCAGAACTCAGCTAAATTCTCTTCAGAAGGAGAAAAGCTCTTTTTTTTAAAACTTCATTTAAATCCAAGCACTCAGAGGCTTGAGAATAAGCAGACGGATTAAAACTGAAAACGGGAAGGAGGTACGGCTATTTTTAAACACAGAGATTTGTCAATTTTGTCCTGTTGATAAGAATCTCCCCCTCAACTCCAAATACTGCTGCTTCCTGCGAGACAACAGTCTCTACGATATAAATCACAATAATGAAATCCAGATGAAAGCTGGTGTGTGCTGGTTTTGATTCACGTAACAGGGTAACGGCAGCATGTTTGAACACACTGGCTCCAAGGCAGCTGTCTCGTCTTGTCAGTGCCATGCTGGAGAGCTCAGCTAACTGCCCTCACTCGCAAGTAAAAGAATTGTGCAACTTCTTTTTGTTTTTCCCCTTGATTTTTTTTTTTTTTTTTCCCTATCTGCTGCAGAAGCCCAACTTTGCCAGAGCAGTGGGATGCTGTTTGCCCAGCTGGTGCCTATAGAAATGCCTGCATGTAGGACCCTGCCCACCTGAGAGGCAGGCAGCCTCTGCTGACAGGTAATTTAAATGCAACGCTGAATTAGTGTCTCTTGAGTGATCAAATCAGTTATCCCTGCTAACTGTTTCTGACCAGGCACCCGAGCACCCCTCTCACTGTCACACCACGGCTGGGGCACAACACCCATGAAGCTACACAGAAACCCCAGTCCCCAACCCCACTCCTGCCCAGGGCACCTTCTGCACCCCACGAACGGCTCTGTACTGAGCAGCAACCCCCGGCTGCTGCCCCTGCCCGCGAGGGATGGAGCGGAGGAAACCTCTAGTGTGGCCCAGCAACCCACAAGGACCAGCTGGGATCCGACACGGGAGGGCTCTGACCCAACGTCGTCCCGCTCTCTGCTCAGCGTTTACGCTTCTCTTCTGTTCTAGGCCACTTCATCGTGCTCGAGCTGCCTGCGGGTCCCCAGCGAGGCTGCCGTGTTGAGAAGACGTGACGCTAAACAGGGTGGATTTTTGCCTGTCCAGAACGATTCTGGTATTGCCCGTGTAGAAGCACCGTTCAATACCGATGCCGCGAATTTTATGAAGGGTTAGCAAATATTTCCCTAAAAGGAGCACGGCATTTTTCTACCCAAACACACTTTCTTCTACACAACGTTGTTCCCTACCAGGCAGGCACCCCGTACTCCCAGAGCTGTCAGGCACACGAGCAAGGCACTGGGAACTACCAAGCTGCCTCTCTCATACTCTAATCTCCGATGTTTGTAACTTCTGTCATCCAGAAACGTCTGTCTTGTTTCTCACAGCTTATTTGGACAAAACACATTTCACTTCAGTATTCAGCAATACTCCTTCGTGAGCTCTGTTCACGTTCTCTGTATACAAAGCTGTGTTATGTGTATTTTAGTTTGGCGATGGAAGTTGCACAAGACAAATGAAAGCCTTGATATATGGTAGCTGACAGATGCCTGGACGACATGATGAATGCTTCAGCCAAAGTCTGTACTCTGCACACTTTTTGCATGGCTGGCAGTTTTGAACTTGGAGGTTAGCTTGTGTGTTATTCACAAGCATTTTCAAGCAGCTGCTTTCTCATAGGAAAGCTGTATATATAGTTTCATAAATATGGGAGGAGGGAGGATGCCTGAAATGGTTGGAAAGACTGGCAAGATGAAATATTGTTGAAAATAAATCCTGCTTTGGCATGCTACCAGTAAAAGATGATCCAGCCTTGGATGCCTCTATCTCCCGCTTAAGAAGGATAAAATCAGAATAAAATAGGTGAATAAAATGAAAGGTATATGATAGGCTCTCTTCAGCTGTCATTACTGTGCACCCTCTGACAAATCTACTTCACAGACAGCAGACAGCAGACTGATACCTTTAACAGACTTTTGGTAGGTCAATGGTATGCTCTCAACCACATAACAAATGAAGTCAATGACTCTGCGCTGCCTGGGTACCTTAACACATACCATAGGCAACCAGCTATGTAGCAATAAACAGCCAGTAACCTAATGCATATACTTATGGGTGAAGATGCATATATATGGGAAATCCTGCTAGAGCAAAGGCTTGAAACAGTGACGGGAAACGGGAGATTCCTTCTTTATAATTAAAAAACCCCACCACTCCAAAAAAAGGAAAAGGGAAACCAAAAGAAGATGTTTTTGTTGTTAGAAAGTGATTAACATTCAAGGATTTTAAACTGACAGATTTAGAATTCCACAAAGTAAATAATCTCAAAACTGCCTCTTTGAATTAAGCACGTAGAAGGATGCCAGTTTTATTTTATATGGTTAATACACTGAAATAATTCTTAATCAAACTTAATCTTAAAAAAACTTAATACAATGTGTCATTGTAACAAAATACGTGTTTACTGGCGTCTCAGCCAAATACAGCATTAAATGCATACAGCATAGGGTTCAAATATGTCTATATATCACCACTGTGATCCTCTGCTCCCTGAGGCTCTTGGGTACAAGGTCAGCAGCCGATAAAAAAGCAGCCTGGAGATGCTTAATTTACAACTACGGAAGTGGCTCCAAGAATAGGGTGACAGCACTGAAGGACGCTGGCTGTAGCGGAGCGCTCCTGACCTTGATGCTCCTTGTGAAAGACAGAACAGGGGAGTGAGAGACCGAATGCTCTATATCATCATGCCGGGCTTTTGTCAGACTGAACAGCCAGGGCAGCGAGCAGTTCTGATTTTGAAGTGACACTGGAGGACGAACGTTGAATAACGCAGCCCAGCTGCGCTCCGCGGCAGTCCCGGCAAACGCAGGCTGCCAGGCAGCCCACTGGACGAGCACTGCAGACCTTCGCGACACGCGTTTTTATTTCGACATAATTAAACCAACGCACTCAAATTGTAGTTAAGTACCCAAACCAATTTCCAAGTGTATCCCTTGGGCACAGAGAGATGGATATTGCAGGGATGTTATTACAGAGGGGACACTCCAAGTCAAGACGCTACTGATCTGGGCTTTTCCTCTTCTGCTGCCAGTTTTGGCAGCGTGCAGCTGCCAGTTAACATGCTCCTGTGTTTCTGAGTTACCAACAAAAGCAGGACTGCGGGGTCAGCCTCATGCCTGTTGCAGAATGAGTTTTCTCCTTCTGCATGGAAGGAGTTCGTTTCTGCTAGCAAGAATGCAGGGAGGCCAAGGGAGGCACTGGTGAGTCTGGATGTACGCTGGTCGACATGAGCCTAGCAAAGAAATGACTGCTCTGTCTGGTAGATAAAGTTCCTGTTCTAGAGAGATTTAAGAATCTGCAAGAATTCCTGTTTTAGCCGTATCAGCCAGGAAGACATCTGTTAACCATGACAAGATGTTTCCCTCCTCCTCCTGCCCCCCAGCATGAAACTTTTCTACCTCTTACTGTTTATACCGTGGCAGAGATTGTAGATTTTCCTACAAACACAACACAAAGCAAAATAATTTCTCCAGGGCAGACCAGAATTTAAATATGACTAATACAATTGATAGAAGTGGTAGAGTTTGTGTTGGGAAGGTATTGAAGCTGCTCTTTCAGAGTTGTCCCCTGACAGGCTGTTTGTGGGTATTACTTTGAGAATGCGACAGGAAAGTGTATACTCTTTCGAGCCAGGACTTCACTGCAAAAAAAAAAGACTAAACCAAAAGCACTTCTCTTCCCCACAGCAATCTCGAAGGAGGAAGCTCAGCTACTCCTTGAAAACAGCTGAGGACTTGCAATTAAAAATCCTCTGCAAGTCAGGACTAATTCAGCTCAGTAAAATTACAAGACTATAAAGTCAATGTCAGTGATGATACAGTCAAGCTCCACAAAAATGGAGGAAACCGCATGACGCATGCTAACCGTGCATATTCCAGAGTAAAATCCAAGCCGGACCACAGATTTTGTCCATCTTACGCCTCGGGACAAAGCCTGCAGTGTTTACTGATGCAGCATTCACAGAGACCTCAACAGAGTTTTACCAGCAGAGAAATCCTGGCCTGCAAAGCAGGAGCCAGGCTCCCAGGAGTAACACCGATGCATGTAGCTCCATCCTGCAGTCAGCGCCGCAGCCTCGCTCATCCCCTGCCACGCGTTCACGTCCCTCTCGCACACCTTCCCCCCGTTAATTGCTCTGACATCCATAAGGGGCGGGGGGGGGAGGTGTGCGTGGAACATCTACAAGCTCGCAGCTGCAAGCATTCATGCTAAATGCTGGCCAAGTAATGAAACTTTAATTACAAGCTGCAGCTCTCCACACACCAAAATGTTCGGTGCTGACATCAGAGCTGCTCTCAGCTGCTCCGGCGCTTGCGAGAGGCGGTAATTAACAGCTACATTCCGCTCCGGACCAGAGACTGGTTTCAATCTGTGTACAGCAGCTCTACAGCTCTGGGGTCGTTTGGCAGAGATCCGCCGCTACCGCGATGGCTGTGCACGGTCAGGAACAAACCACTGGCCTCAGACTGCAATTTGCTTTAATTGCAGCATACGCCGATTTTTATATTTGGGGAAGAAAATGACTTGACGTTACAGCCTATTATGCTCCCGTTCACGCTGATGTGAACTGCAGGGAGGAGGAATGAGAGCTGAGTCAGGAAAGTCTAATGTGGATGTGAGTAAAGTCTCCCACATAGCCAATACGGCCCTACATTCACCAGCTCAATGCATAAGCCCTCCACATGTGCAGACCGAGTGGCAAAATCTTATTTAAACTGCAAGCTCCCAGGACACTCCAGCGCTACCTCTTCTCCCTTCTCTTGGCTGAAGGAAGCACCAGCCCCTTGCGAAAT